AAATTAAGTAAAATTAATATTTTTAGGAAACTTAAAGAGCACTCATCTGACATAATCATTTTACAGATAAGACAACTAAGAATTAAATGAATTGTCCAACTTATCTGGACAGCGGGCAAGGCAGGATTCCAGCTCAATGTCCAATTTCCAAATTAGGACTCTTCACATTCTACCATGTTATTAGAATTCACCTTCTCATTTGATGAAACTACTGAAGTATGAAATTCTACATGGTACAACTTTCTAGAAAACAAAAAAAGAGATGGGATATCACGGTCACAACTTACTCTGTTTTTAAAGTGTGCCCACTTTTAAAGCTGCCTATAGTTCATGCAAAGGGAGTGCTATGGATGATAGAAGGTGACTTTATTTTCTAAAACAACCCTACCTCTAAAGCTTTCTTGATATAATACAGTGTTTTTAACCTTCTGCTTCAAGCTGGTCTTCTAGCTTGATAAACTATGGCATCAGCAATAGATGGTCAATGTCACCAACTGTCACATAGTTCTCTCCAATGTATAGTGCAGAGTTTTCCTTGGAGTACAGAGAAGAAAAATTTTCTTCCAAAGTTTCCCTTTCACAACTAGAATCTCAGTTTTTCTGATTCACAAAAACAAGTTTGAAGTGCCACAACCAAACTGTCACATAACAGTTTCCTGAATTCTCTCCCTAATGAAAAACGAAATTCAGATAAGATATATATTTGATTCGTAGTCAAAACTGATTGATTCTAAACTTAAAGAAACTTGGAAATTAACATTTTGTCTTTAACTATTAAAAATTAAATCTTTTTCACAGTATCTCCAAAATCATTTCTATTGCTTTCTGAGCAATAGTATTCATCAATGGAGAGCCTAAAACTGGATTATTCCCTAAAGTAAACTATATCTTAAGTGAGCTTTTTTTACATATCAGAATCATTCACTTTGGGAATAATTAAGATTGCAAAATAATGGAGGAACACATTATTTTTCTCTACCTCAATTCAGTAAGGACTGTTACTACTACAGTAATCTGATTTTTATTACAACAGCAACCACAATTGGGATAATAAGAGCTAACATTTATTGAATGCTCACCACAATGTCAAGCAAATATTAACCCACTGAGTCTTGAAAGCAGCCAGCAGATAATGACATCATCCCCATATTACAGATGAGAAAGACAAAGAGAACTTAAGAAGCTTGTCCAAGCAGTAAAACTGAGATTCTGAACAGGCTGACCTCTACTTACATGCACCAGATCTTTAAAATAATCTCCCCTGAATAGGTATTTTTTAAGGTTCCCATAAATGTGCTTTGCAAATTCAACAATAACAGTAGAGTAATAGAATCTGGTGGACATTGCAGATATTTTTTTTTCTTTTTTAGGGGGACAGTTGTGGAGTATGTGGTTATGGTCTCCATACTCCTAGAGCCAGTCTTTGGAGTCTAGTCAAGAAGATCATCAAGATGAGCCCAGTCCATTTTCCCAGATGTATTGTGCCAACATCCTTAAGAAATAGGGATTTCCATAAAAGGCTATTCTTGAATGACTGGCCATCTACAACCCCATTGGGCACATGTGGGGATCCCTCCCCTCATCCCAGTAATTTCTCAAGTCCAGTGTGAATTTCACTACGACAGTCAAAATATCCACTTTCAAAACAGGGAGCAATAATTTTCCCTTCCCGTTTAGTCCTCTAGATTCTCCAAAGAGCAACAGGCTTCATCCTTCCACGAACTTGAGTGGGACCCTGCTAGATCATGAGAGAACCACTGGAGTGATAGAACTTAACAGCTGAGGGAAACCTTGGAGACCTTTTAGTCCAGCACCTTTATTTACAGATAAGAAACTGAAATCTAGAGAAATTAAAAACCAGACAGTTCCTCATTAGTAGAACTGGGACCAAATCCCATTTTTCTGACTCACAGTACCATTTGCCCTGTAAGAAACTGCCATTCCCAGACCTTAGAATTGACTCATAGATATACCCTAGTTAAATCATGAAAAAATGAAATTAATAAATTATGCCACAGTTCTCCCAAAGAGACAATACATACTTTCAATGTAATATAATTTTTGTTTTCTATTTGTAATTTCCCCCTACTCGAAACAAGTGGCCCACTAGCTAAAAATTCTCTGAGGCTATATGCTACAAAGATTTTCATTAGAATTGGATATGATAACATAGATTTTGTCTCAATTGTGCTATTAATATCACCTCCAATGTGAATTTTACTCCTGGGAATTAAACATTTGTTAGTAATATTGATTAAATATTTATTTGAGCCAGGATCTTAGAATAGTAAGAGTAAACGGAGAGCAACTGCCTAATTTTAAGTTGTTTCCTTACTTGGCCTTGCAATTATAAGAAAAATAAACTTTCTTAAAAATAAGATGGCTTAGTCAGTTAAGTGTCCAACTTTTGATCTCAGGATCATGAGTTTGAGCCCTGCATTGGGCTGCACTCTGGTTGTGGAGCCTACTTAAAAAAAAAAAAAAAATAGGTAGATAGAGAAGATGAGATCGTAAATTAAAAATCCCATGATGGCCAAATATTGCAACATGATTCCACAGACAGTAACGTGTTGTAAGAATTTAACAAGAGACCACAAATTTCAGTATCTTTTTTTCAGGACATTTTTCCTCCCAAGGAAAAATCAGCACATAAAAATTTTTCCCACCAGAGTCACATATAGATTAGATTAGGATTTCCACATGGTATGACTGCTGGTGATTCTGAGTTTTGATTGTTCAGAAAGTTAGGCGTTCCACATAATGGAAACTATTTGGGGAAAAAAAGTCTAATTCTATTTCCAGGCAAATACAAGGGTTACCTACCTCCCCTCCTGCAAGAAACCATCTTAAGTACAAAATTCGGAGGAAAGTTGTATTCTAGGTAGGGATCAGATAGTAACTGAGGTATCTATCTTGGTAATTCCATACAGTCAGGTAGTTAACAATTCAGAGGCAGAATGACCTATGTTAACTTTTTATACATATAGGAAGATCCTTAAAGTGGAACCTTCGCACCCCAGGGAAAAATTATGAAACATTAAGAAAAGAATATGCTAAAAATAGGCATAAGCAAATATTTAATGTATTGGAATATGGAATAGAGCTTAATTTATAACACTAATTTTCAAAACTCAATTTTAAATTGATTTGGTATAAATTTCTGTCTTAGATTTCTTGGCAAAACTTACTAACAAAATAATATTACTTTATTTCATCAAGACATACAAGTCACTGAGTACTTAACATTAAGTTTACAAACAGCACCCCCACTTATGACCTGTATTTGTCTCTCCTACAAGAAAAAGATGGAGAGAACCATTTCAATGCACTGAAATATTCTTACTTTAAAGCTAATAATATAAATATATATTCTATACACAACCACAACTTTTTTTCTAAATAATTTCTAAAAATCATATTAATTCCCTCAAAATACAAATGTGTAGTTTTCCAAAAGTGATCATCGCAGCTCAGGTAGACTTGTTCTGTTAATCCAGTATCTACCCAGCTCCAGGATGCTCAAGTGAAAAGCAGCATTCAGTCAACAGCTTGAATACTCTGCCTACATGTTACTGAGTATCTAGGTGTTCAGTGACACTTGGATACAAATGTGGGAAATAGAATTACATTCTTCTTGCATTCTTCAATTTTGACAGATGTAGTAATGTCAGTATTAAGATTCCATCTACCTTTGTATACAGACTTGAACAAAACAACGATAGATCAACTTTTCTAACAAATGCTTAAAAACCAAAGTTAGAGTGAAAGTACCATGTCTTGCAAGAATATTATTTGTTATAATCTAATTATGGAGGAAACAATCTCATAATACCTGTTTACAGTAGCCTAGCCACTTGATATCAATTACTGAATTATTAGATATTTACTGAGGCCTCCTACCAGGCTTTGCCCTTCCTCAAAGAGATCCAATCTAATTACAGAGACGAGAAATAGACCTATGAAATTCAAACTAACAATATTAAAACTCATCCCTTATCCACATATCAATGAGAAATCAGGAGTACAGACAGTAAGTAACATGCTATAGGAGTTTAGAGGTGAGATCCCTTTTTGTGGACTTGGGTGGTCCCAAAGGACCACACAAAAGGTGTAGTTTTGAGCTGATCTGATTGGGTTGTAGATTGGAGTTATAAAATGACTGCTTTAATAGTTACGCACCTTCACAAAAGTAATTTTAAAACATCCAGTCCTAAACCTGGCTATTCTCGTTTTCCACAGTATGTATATGAGTGTATATAGATAGATAGATATACACTGGTGAATCTAAGAAAGAAAGAACACCAATTCTCAAATTAACAATGCTTATAATGACTTCTGGATGGAACCAAAAACTCTAGAAACATAGGTTGAGGTTAAAAAAAAAAAATCATGAAGACATATACACATCCACACATACAAACCTTAGCTATGATCAGAAGCACCTTGCACTATTCTCCTTAAGCCAGAATCACCAGTATTCCCTTTCTTTCTCTGAGAAATTGCATAAATAAAAATAGGAAATAAATCCACTTCTTTGCAGAGATAATGGCTCACACTTAAAACACACCCCGAAGAATCGCTCATGAAAGACTAATGCAGCCAGTTCATATCTGTAAATATAAATTGCAGAGAATGGAATCCTCAAGTGAGAAATTATTTCTTTCGCCTTATCTTCTAGTTTCAGGCACCAGCTTTATATAACAGTTTGAAATGCTGAAGTCCCTATTTGGTTATTTGTAAGAACACTCTAGTTTATTGCAAAAGTAAATGTATATAGCTTTGTTAGCGAAGGGGCTATATATTTAATGTCCATTCAATGTTTTGGGAATCATCAATTGCTTGCTCTTGTTTGGTGCGGGAGTCATGTTTTGTTAAGTGCATCCACAACCAAGTTAAAGACCAGATGTGTGGTTTGTGTCTTCGTCCATATAATTTTCTGTTTAGACCAAATGACATTATAGCTGAAAATAACATACCCTGATTTTTCCTGATGCATGCAGATCCTCCAAAGTTTAATAGGATATGGCCGAATATTTCTTCCCTTGAGGTTTCTAACCCAAAACAAGGTAGGAGCATGTAAAATTCCTACTGATATAAAATCCCACATGTTTAGGGGAAAAATCCCATATACTACTTTTTTAGCACTAAATAAGAGCATTATCATGAATGCCATGTCTTTGAAAGAATCATGATTCAAATATTATTTCTAATATGAAGAGCATCCTGGAAATATTACAGTGAAGACATAGGGAAAAATTAGATGGCATAGAAGTTATAAGATCTTTATTAAATTTAGGTTGAATGTCTGTCAGCCCTTAGAGAAGCCTGGAGTTTTGTTGCCATCACAGTTTGGAATGTAAATAATAAATCTTTAAAAACTTGCGAGTTGCTACAGACATCCTTCCACTGTCTCCCTTTTGCTCTTCTGGTACATCAGTTGTATTGAAGGTCGGGGGCAAGGGGAAAATACATAAAGGAAGTATTGTAACCCCTAAAAGACCTGTTTTCTTTTACTGTTGCTCCATATTGATTGGCAGAAATTTGAATCTCTCTCTCTCTCTTTCTCTGTCTCTCTCTTTCTGTCTTCCACATCACAGTATATTTTTCTCTGTTGGGGCTTCCCCTTTAAATCCTCTGTGAATTAACGATTATTTCTATCGGCATTAAGGGCAGATTGCTTTCTGTCTGTCCTTAAAGCTGTAATTATTTTCTGATTTCTAACATCAAAACTAAGTAAATTAATAAAAGAGAGAGACTGAAGCAGTGTGATTACACAGGAAGAAATAGAACTTCTAAAAACTGGGCAATGAATTCACAAGATGCAGTGCAATGTTAAATTCCCATTAACGTCTAGCCTATAGATATACATAGACATATATAAATAGGAGTTTATTTCAATGGAAAATTGTTTTCTTTTGCCTTCTTTCTTCTCAAAAAAAAAAAAGGCACATCTTTGGCTTCCACCTTCCTTCCTTACATACAGGATGTTCCTTTTAAACTCTAATGAATACAGATGGAGAAGGAAATGAGCAAAAGGAGGAACCAGGAAATAGCTGCTAAGCAAAACAAAATATATTAGCAATTTGTTGGGGAGTCAAATTGGAAGGGCTGCATTTTCAGTCCTTGATCAGAGTGATGAAATCGAGACTGTCCTAGATACATATATTAGTAGCAAATAGAATTATCTTAATCATCTGCTCCAAATGAATTTTTTCAAGTTTCTGCATACATACATGGAAGAAGTACAGATCATGCTCACCCCTATTAATATAATTCTGTGAGGATTCGGGGGAGGTTTAGTGGCTTTATTCCTTGGCAAGTTCAATGAGAGCATCTTCAGTGAAATGTCACTCAGTATTTTCCATGGAATTTCATAGCTCAACAAATTATACAAGACAGGATCTAAGACTTAACACTTCTCCACAGTGAGTTTTGAGATGAACAAGATTACGCATTGTTCAAAACCTGAAACAGACCTACTTAATTATTTTGCTGTGTTTTCTGTCAGTGTCACAGCACTGAAAACTTTCAGAAATTTCCAGCTAATGCCAGGTGCAGTTTTTTAAAAACTGCATAATGTGTTCAAATGAATTTATTTGAGAAGGAAAGCAGTTGAACAAAGTGCTTAAACTTGAAATTTTAGCTAAAGGTGCACTTTCTAGCAGAGGCCAGTTCTGTGCAGGCGTAATTTATCTTGTCAACATCTGCAAAGAACATCAGGCTCTACCCTGCTTTTGCTATCTTCACAAACAACTCATCATGAATAATTGGAAAAGAAATGGCAGGCAACTTAGAGAGAAATCTCTGCCATTAGCAAACTGATATCACAAAGGTAATAAATATTGGGAGGAAGACTACATTTTTTAAAGGTAGACAGACTCAAGGTGACTCTGAGACTGAGGGCCAGATGGTTGACCATTGTGATTCTGTTCCGTGATGTCTAATCAGTTCAACAAAAATAATCCGAACTGGCTTATACATAGATGAGCTTTTGGTAACCCAAAGCGACTGACCATAGCGAATTGCGGCAATGAGATTGTGAATTACCTCAACATGGCTACTATTTTAAGAGAGGGACAATAGGGGATCCTAATATCCATATTGTTACTGGAATAATCGTTACATAACTGGATTCTTAACTTAAATGGTAATTCTTTTTCCTCTGAAAATAAAACCTCTAAACTTTATTACTGACAATGTTAATCCATTTTCAGCCAAATACAAGACTTCCTTTGTGATTGAAAGCATCTCCCAAAAACAACATATACAAATAGTCTCTTCCTTTAGGGCTACTTTTCAAGTGGGTTGATGATAAGTTATTACAGTTTGAACGTTTCACTATTGTTTCTAATGTGCTGTTCATTCTTTTAAACCTATCCAGTTGCTCCCAAATTAGCTTTGTCAACAGTTTCTTCTGTTCAAGTTGCAAACCACAAGAGAGGTAGGAATTCTTGGATTCATACAGTGATTTCATGGTGTTATGTGTTGTGAAACATTGCACTGTATGAATCTGGAATATCTGTGAAGTGTACCCATCAGCTTATTGGTGAGGCATGTTGACTGATTCCAATCAATGCATCAAATAGTACTGAGAATGTCATCTGTAAGAGAAAAAAAAGCTTCACTCAAAACTTGACTGCTGTAAATTAAAAATGCTGCAACATTTGTTTTCTGAAAGATTAATGTGTGAATAACATTAACACAGTTTAGGATCCTTTTTAGAACATGAATGTTAAGAGTATTAACATTGTTGCTCATTTGCATTGAAAATAAGGAAACTCACTTAGAGTGAGTTTCAAGGATGCTTTTCATGAGAACAGAATGGCAGGTTCCATGTGTTGTGCCCATTTGACTTTGTGACAAGTGAAATACCTTGTAATTTCTATTTCCATTGTTTGGAATGAATTTGAACAAATACCAGTGCAGATCTGCACTGGGTGAAGCATTGATTATGACCTGAAAATAATAGTTATATTGCTTTCTTTAGATGAAAGCAAGCAGTATCTCATCTGTGACTCATGAATAGCCCATTCCAGCTAGCATCTGTCATTCACAGAATGAAGATTTTTCAGGAAACATGAAGACTCCTGTTTTTATTTTACCATTTTCCTTTAAATGTCCTATGTGACAGGTGTGTCTTGTTTTCCACCCTTGACTGTTGGGCTTATGTCATGTTTTGATTTTTTTTTTTTTCATGAAACACCTCTTACAAAGAAATATATTTATTAGCAAAATTGAATTTAGTTTGACCCACTTGGTGAAAATGACCATGATAGCTTCTTTATTCCTTATTGAATAGAGTCAAATCATTTTCCATATTTTAATTAATGTTGAGTCGGTCCTTCTGTGGTGTATAGAGAAAAAGATGAAACTGGTTTAAGTTGGGAAAGGGGAAACTGACAGTATTTAAACTATGTCTTAAACTTTCTTCACCATATGCTTTTACATATCAGAGAGAGACGGTGCCCTTTTGCGTGGAATGTGGATGGATTTGAAATTGGGGGACTAGGTTCTTTAGGAACAGAAGAGCCACAGGTTCCTAGGGTGTCAAGCCTGTTTGGGTATGAGTGCAAATCAGAAGATGGTCACTGAGACCACAGGACGGCGATCTTTCTTTATCTCCAAAACACGAATCTACACAAAGAAACCAAGGAGGTGGAGGAGAAAAGGAAGCAATAGGGGCTCTCACAGATTCCATCTCTTTTATGTCATGTCAAGCACACTGGAAATACAAGAGGCCTCTTGACCTGGAATTTGACCTTGCTTCATAGAATCTTGCGTTTCTTGGGGTTGCAGCACTAATGAGGTTCACACACATCTCCAGAGGCAGGGAGAGGCCACCTAATGACTTATTAAAAAAATCCATACTGTCATCAAATGATGTATGTGGAAAAGTTTCAAAAGCTACATCAGGTTGCAAGAGAGGGTGGGGTGAGGTAAAAGACCAGCAAAATGCTATGGCCACTTCACTGCCACCCCTGGAGAAGGCCCCTCAGAGGCAGGGTGACTCTTTGAATGTAGCAAGGGGAAAATACTAAAGAGTTCTCATTCTTTCCCTTTCTGTCTAAACTCTTTTTCCCAAATTCTTTTTTTTTTTTTTTTTTTTTTTTTTGAGGGACTAAAATGGATTTTAACCAGCTTTCCTCATTTGGCTAAAAAAGAAAAAACTACCTGTGCCATTCTGAGTACTTGATCTCATACTTGTGTAGGCAATGCAACCTATGATTAGAGGCAACATGGGGAACAGTAAGAAAGAAGACACCAAGGGGAAATTTAACCCCTCCTCTTCTGCCTTTCTTCATCTTCCACTCTCTATCTCTCCAATCTCTTGTTTCTGGCAACCCTTCCTTGCCCAGCCCTCTGCCCACCCAGTGTCAATCAGAAAGAACCTTTACCTAGAGGGTTGGGTCTTTCCTGATCTAGAAAGCCAACTCTGAACTCTTCTTCTAAAACATCTCTAGCTTTCATTGGTCTTAACTGGCCAGTTCCTAAGTACCATATTATCACAACTGCTTTATATGATGTCATACATTTCTGATGGGGGATTTTGCCCCCTCCCCAGGGGACTTTTGGTTGTGACAGCTTAGGGGTTACTATTGCATCTAGTAGGCAGAGGCCAAGAATGTTTCTAAATATCCTCCAGTATATAGAAAAATGAAGAATTGTTTGGCCCAAAATATAAATAGTGCCAAGGTTGAGAAACTGCACTAGATTCTGCAGGACTGGTTCATGTTGTTCCCTGACACAAGGTTGTTCTCAGTAAATAGGTGTTGCCAATGTTTGCATGCCACACCATGGAAATGGATTCTAGAGGACCCCACAAGCTTGTCTATACAACAGCAATTAAAACTTGTCTACAATGTAATTTGAGATTGAAAAACTATATAAAACCATGGCAATTTTTATAAATCTTTAGTCTGCCTAAAATGATCTTCATTGACATTTAGACAACCCTCAGCTAAAATAATTACTAGCTCAGTTATATCTCGTTGTGTGGCTGTTGTTTTTCTAGACTCTTTAATATACAGGATATAGCCAGACTCATGGAATTCATATAGGGAGGAATGAATTTAAACGTAACTGTCCTCTCATGTCTTCCTCTGTTTTGCAAAGGAAGGCCCCTCGGGATGATCACTGATTTACTGATATGTTCATTTGACAACATTTTTTTTTTTTGAGTGCTTAGTATGCCCTGGGAGATGTTTTGAGTTTCATGGTTACATCTGTGAACAAAACAGACACGGTCTACACTCACATATTTATGCTCAGAGGATGGGGGGAGAAAATTTTTGGAAATATATGTTTCAGATACTGCAAATTCTAAAAAGAATAAATAAATACATAGGTTTAAGAAATTGGGGATTAGTATATTTAGGCCGGGGGCTGTTAATTCCGATAAAGTGGTCACAGAATTTTCTTCACGCAGAAGCCTAAAAAGAAACTGAGGAAGCAAGTCATAGGAAAGTCCAGGGGCGAAGTATTCCACACAGAGATAACAACAAGAGCAAAGGCCCGGAGGACGTCCCTGCAATGTTTGCAGAGCAACATGGAGCTTTGTACAGCCAGTGAAGAAGAGAGTGATGCCAGTGAGACACCAGGGAGGCCAGGGGCCAAATCAATTGGGAATGAATGAATTTAAACTCTGTCTTTTATTCTGAATGACACAGGAAGCCATTAGGATTATGAGCAAAGGGGTGTCATGACCCAATTAAAGTTTTGAAAGAGTCACTCTTACTGATGTGTGGAGAGGAGACTATCACTAGGATGGAGCCTGGAGAGCAGTTTGGGGACCACAGCAATAACCCAGGTGCCTTTACCTAAAGATGAGGTAGTAAGAGGTGGTGAGATTTAGGAAGTATTTTAAAGGATAGCCAAGATCTGCTGATTGATTGATTGTCGGGGATGAAGGGGAAAAAAAGAGCTGTCAAGAACAACTCCAGGAATTTTGAGCTAAACAATTGGAGGAACAGAATTGCCATTTACTGAGATGGGGTGGGTTGTCTGGGTGAGTAACAGGTTTGGGAAGGTGACCGATGAGTTCTCTTACAAACATATTGAAGTTGAGATATGCATTACATGTCCAAGTGTAGACTAAGAATGCAGTGGAGTTGGTCAGTCTGGAGGAAATCTCTAACTGGTGGTTGATCTAGCCTGAAATAACTACTTTGAAAAGGTCAGCATTTAGATGGTATATAAAGTCATGAGGCTAGGTAAAGAATCCTGGCTCTAGGGTGAGCCTAAAGAGCAAAGAGTTCCAAGAACTAAGCCCTGAGACATTTGAGGAGAAAGGAAAAAAAGGAAAAGAGAGGGGAAAACAATGGTGAATGATGTGGGAAACAAAAGCAGAAGAAAAATTATTAAATTTCCTTACTATCTATAGCCCACCTGTGGACAAGTCCTTGAAACAGGCAAAGTGACATTCTTCTAGGGACCCAGCTGCCTCAATGTTGACACTTTGGCTAAGGGCAAAAGGCAATCCTAACCTGACCCCCGGGACCCTGTAAGTCTACTTTAACATATAAAAGTTCTTTTATCTTTAAACCCCCAAGATGTATGTTGGCAGTCATCCACCAAGCATATGGCTCATTGATATACATCTGAAGGATCTCAAGACTAAGGTTTCATTAGACGAAAAGAAATGCAATTTCCTGACAATAGCTAGCCCTCTCAAGGTCCTAGAAACCTTGCTTCCAAAATTCCTTAGAGGCTTAAGCTATCCTTAGCCTCCTCCCAAACTGAAAGTACATATCGGGCCACTCCTCATAACCCCAGTGCAGCTCCTTCTGCCCATGGGTCCTGTCTCAGTGCTTTACTTAAACCATTTTTTTGCACCAAGGACATCTCAAGAATTCTCTCTTGGCATCGGCTTCAAACCCTAACATCTTTCCTATATCAGTGAGTAGGAAAGAAGGAGAAGCAAGAGTGGTGGACCAGAAGTCCCCTGTTGCAAGAAGGGTTTTCTGGCAGTCCCAAAGCTCCCTTTAAGGTTTATGGTCATGAAATTAAAATGAGATTTGTTTCAAAATGGAGAAAAACTCCAGTCACATTTAGCTGCTGAGGTGTAGGCATGGAGAATGGAGAGTTGGATTTAAGCAGGATCAAGTCTTCCCAGAAGACTGTAATTGAGGTGAGCTCTTAGGGGGGCAAGAGAGATGAGAGTGTATAAAAAGAAGTCACTGTAAGGACGAACTATGGACTCTGTACTTTGTAAGAAGGGAAGGGAGGACGTGGTAGGTCAATGAATTGGAAGATCAAAGAAATATTGAACTATTAATATCATCCCTACAGGGTCTTAATATGATAATGTAGCTCAGACCACACCATTAATGATCATTCAAGGATTCTGTGCCTGTGTGGAAAGACTAGTTATTTCCTAAAGAGTGGTAGATTAACAGAATACTGAAAAATAATACAGCAGCCTAATAATTACATTTGAGATACCTTGCATTTATCCAGTGCTCTCATGTTTTTCGAAGATCTTTTTCTCATTTTACATTCTCAAATATATCATGGCCAGAAAAGACAGCTTTACTGAAGTCTCAGATGAGTCTTAGAAGTGTTAAAAGAATCAAATTGCTACTCTATTTCCTAGATTATAAGACATTTGGATATCCACTTATCTTCTAAAATAAATTTATTAATATTGGGTGTTTAGCTGGTACAGTTATATATATAATTATTTGTACAACTTATATTACTTACCTCATCCTATTGAAAATAATAAATTAATTCTCAAACAAGACCCAGAAACAAATAATGTTATCACAAAATGTATACTATCCATTGAATTCAAAGAACAGTAGGTGATAGCATGACATTTGATATGTCTACGGAGATTCATGTGTTGGGTATTAAAAGTGTTGAACTTGAATATCTAAGGATATGTTTTATTTTTTGGATAAAACTGCCAGATGGGAGCTCAGCATGTAGCTCTGGCCATTGGGCAGATCTTACAGAACCCTTCAAACATCCATGAGGGAACTACATTCTGAAACTTCCCCAGCCTTATTCTCTGCACTTACCCAACTTCATATCTTCACACACTCTATTCCCCTTTCACCTGAAATTCTCATCCTCCCCCCTACACACACACACTTTTTTTTTTTTTAATAAAACCTATTTCCCCTCATGGAAGACTCAGTGTTTAAGTCCAGCATTAAGTTAGTTTTTCCTAATTTCTCTCAAGTTAAATGAATTTCTCCCTAGGTCACTCTGTATCTCTGTTTGGTTTTCTTAGCACAAGCTCCTTTGCTTTCTAGTTATTCTAAGCATGTGATTGTTTTGCCCACAAAACAAGCTTTTTGGCAACAAGGACTTCTGTGTTGTTTCAAAAAGTCCCTAGGATCCATTTGTGCACAGAAAAGGTCCCTTTGAAAAAAACTGAATAAATTATAGTAGGTGCACCAAGGCCAGCCTGGGGGCGGGGGTTGGGGGTTGGGAATGTGAAGAACCACCCCCACCAAGGAACCTCTTTGGGAGAGGGAGAGCCAGAGGACAGGGCTGTTGGTGTCCACTCCTCAGCAATGTCAGCTCTGGAGAAGTCCTAAGAAGCAATTAGATTTGGGAATTGGGTCTCCTTCCTGAAAACTCTATTCTTGGGTGGCTCTAGACCAGAAAGGTTCTCCCCATTTCAATCTTCAACCAAGGAAGGTTCTAGAGGCCTTTTAGGTTTCCTAGCAAGTCAGAAATGCCAGCATAAACTAGGTGTAACTCAGATATAATGTATTAGAATGAAAAGTTTGTTTTCTAAGAAAATTTAATTTGGCGTTCTGTATATTACTTTTGTTGTTATTATTTTATTACTAATAATGTGGTATGCCTTAATGACTGAATTTATGCAGGTATGTTCTTACCCCATCTCTCACATCCAAGTCCCAAGGCCCCATTCTGTTCTCCTTCTTTCTCTGCTTCCTCTCAATCCCAGTCCCCACCACACTTAGACACATGACAAAACTAGTCTCCCCTAAAGAAAGTGGCTTATCTTCAGGAGCCTCCCTCTTCTTGTTTCTCTTTAAGCACCTAGAGTCCCCAAGGTGCTGACCCTAATCCTGGTATCTTCCACTCTTTACAATTTCCAGTGTCCTTCTTTGCTCCTATCCAAATTTAATTTTATTCTTTCAGGATCTTGACCTCCGTCCACCCTCTACTACAACAACTGGCTCTGCACTAAATGAATCCACACCCTCTGATGAATAGCAGTATATTAAAAAAAAAAAAATTCTAGTCACTCTTCCTTATTCCTCCATATTCATCCAATGCACTACTTCAAAAATTTGTCTAGGCCAAAAGAGTAACTCAGTCATTTGCATAGTGCCCGGCACATGGTAAATCATCCCAATAAAATATTAAATGAATGAATGAATGAATGGGCTCAAACAGTGGCTGTGTTTGGCTTCCTAGTGAGGTAAAATAAAAGCCAGACATTAATAAGAGGAGTACTTTTAGATTAGATAAGGAAGGCTTACACTACCATGGTTGACCTTTCTCATAAATGTCCAACTCTGCCTACCCCCATATTTTGAGAGGAAAAAATTAGCCTCCCCACCTACTTATTCTTCCCACTTTTTTTTTCTGTCTGATTTGATAATTGTTACCACTGGTAAAGGCTTTGTCTTTACCACTTCTTTGAAAAACATTGAATTAGGTGAACAACCTCTTGCTTCCCTGAGGTGCAACAGAGAGAAAATCTAGTCACCCTCTACCCTTCCCCACCTGCTCTCCTCCTCTTTCCCCATCTCCTTGTCTAGTCCTTCCAACCATCAGTCCTCAGCCTCAGAGACACCTCCAACAATCTGGGGAAACAAAAGAAAAGGAAATCTGAGGGTACTGCCCAAACATCAGCTGCCTAATCCTTCTTTTGTAGTAGATTTAGCTTGAGACTTGGGGTGAAAAGAAAACTGCTTGGGTGAAAAAGAAACTGCTCTTAAGAGCAGTTTTACCATACAAATCATCTCCCTGCTTTTTATATTTTTTCTCACAGATAAACATCAGATTTGGCCTGATGAACAGCTTACAAAAACTGTCTTCCCTCTTAGCATTTGGAAAAAACAAAAAATAGAGAATTGGTTAATTGTCTAGATCCCTGTGAAATTTGCCACAATTTCTGGGAAACCCTGACGAAGTTACTATCTTGATATAAATAATAATCAGATTCTAAACAAAGAAGTCATCAGTGATGGCAGGCTCAGGCCCTTGATGCTCACATAATTCCCTCCCTCTTTTTAAGAGTGCAAATATTAAGAAAAAATGGGGAATGTGGCACAAAGACAGTAAAGTTCTCAATGTGCAAAAATTAGACTTTTGCATCAATGGCAACAGAGCTTTCCCAAATTTTAAAAGGTGTACACCTGCAAATGCTTCTGTTCATACTGTATGCCAAAAATTAACAGTCTCCAGTCATGTTCTGAATGTCCAACCTTTCTATCCTGCTCGAAACAGATGCTACTCCCATGCCAATCACCACCACCTGTGGTCGCCATGTGTCATGTTGCATCACATAGATGTAATGCCATCCCTCCATCTTTTCTCCACTCCTCATTTTATCCAAGCATGTAGTGTGCTGTGACTCTGCTACTGTATACACTCTGTATACATTTCTGTTCTTCCTTGCAAGATTGTGAATGCTTCGGCCACTCCAATCGATGCAGTTATATCGATCTGCTCAATACAGTCATTTGCGTGAGCTGTAAACACAACACTAGAGGGCAGCACTGTGAGTTATGCAGGCTGGGCTACTTCAGAAATGCTTCTGCACAGCTGGACGATGAGAATGTGTGCATAGGTCAGTTCCATTATAATTTCAGCTATTGTTCTGTGCCTTTCGAGCTATGGGGAGCTATTTAAGGTGAAGAGGCTGTTGAGTTGCACCACGGCTGAGCCAGAATGAACTTTCTCAATGGAGAAAACGTCCTTGTTGTAGACATAAAATTCTCTTATGCTGGTTGAATTGGGGGATATATTCTGAGTCCTTTTGTTATTGTTGGTTTAAAGATGGTGAGCCAAAAATCATGTTTAGATGAAGAATTTTCTTTCTATTATTTTTTCTTTCTTTCTTTCTTTTTTTTTTTTGCATGAAATCTTAAAACCTGGTAATACCAAACTTAATCTTAAAGTCTTAAGTTGTACATTCCACTTTTAAAATAGAAACTCACTATATGATATTTAATTATAGTTATGAGAAATTAGGATAAATTCTTGCATATAATTGGTAACCAACAAATATCAATTGATTTAAAATATTGCCATTTGGAATTGAAAGTCATTAGCAATTGGTAATATAGAAGTTTGCCTGACTTTTCCATTCATAGTAGTGAAATTCCATTTATTTGATTTTCTTATAGCCCCCAAAAGGAGAAGTAATTTCTCAAAGCTGTTCTAGGCAATTAATTCTCTTAGCTTCCAAGGTAAATTAGCTCTGGAAAACTGGGTCCACAGGGTTCTCTCGAGTACTCTCCCCTACCCCACCTTGACTACTGCTCAGGTCAACTGTAGAGAACCTGCCCTTCCCACCCAAAAAAGTTTCTCCTACTTTTGGTATAGTGGAACCCATCTTTAAGAAAGGGAGCTGTTGGAAAAATAAGAAACAATAAATGGAATTTCACTTCACAATTTACTTTGAAGAAATGCATATATTTGAAATGGTCAAGGGTACATGCATATCTGTTACCTCACCAGTAGGTAACAACATACATAACTAATTTTAAAAGTAGAATTTTGCGCATAGAGACTAATTTAAATAGAAAACACATGCTGGAAAATGGCAGGCGGTCTTTGGATCAAAAAAGAAATTAATTCATCTGCAATTCTGGGATCATTGTTTTCTGATCGGATTGTTAAGGTCATATAGCAATTTGCCCAGAATCACATAAGATAGATGTACAAGTTGTTTTGAATTCAGTTAGGCCAAGTTTACATAATACTGTTTATATCTACAGTATGTTCTATCTTTCAAAATGCCTCCTTATTTATTATTTGTGAATTAGTGGAGAAATCACTGGACTTAGAGGCCGGAGAGCTGGGTTCAAGTCCCAGTTTGCTATTTAATAGCTGTATGCCTTAGGTAAGTCATTTCAGAACTCCTGGTCAAACTGGGATCATATGGGATGCACAGAAAACACTTGGTAAACTGTGAACTGACTTCCAGATATGTTTTTTCTATTTAATCCTCATTAACAAAACTGTGGGGGTAAGTATTCTACTGATAATTTCCTCTATTTTCTAGTTGAGAAAAGTAAGGCAAATTGACCCAAATCATACAGCTTTCACAAAGAGTTAGTTCCCTGACTTCAAAGCTTGAATACCTTCTCCCAACTATCCTGACATAATGAGCAAAACTCAGCTTGTCAGACTTCTACTTATGGTATGCTTTTTGGATGACAATAGCAATTCCACTGTGAGCTTGCAAACAGAAGTTCAATTGCCTTTATAACTATTGGGGTTACAAGGATTTGAGGTTATTAATAACCCAAAAGACATGTAGCTGTCAGAACTTTGAATGCAGAGTTACATTTCACTGAATGAAATTTGTAGAAATATAAAAATGTCATAACATAAATATGGAAACAAAAAAAGGTAAAATAAATAGGAACATAGTAATAAAAATCATTTATGTAAAATACCTAAGATTAAAATATTTTACAGTGTTAAGTCATATTATATATACAGTCATATTATTTTATATACAGTCATATTATTTTAAATGAACAAAGAAAAAGCCCTAAAAGAAAAGATTTCATTCCTTATAATATCTAGTAGGTAACAATATCCCAGTGTTTTACTCGGAATATTCTGTTCTAATGAACTTTGGCCTTTTTCCAGTCCTAAAGTAATCTTATGGACCATGAAATCTGCACTTCCTATTCAATTTTAAGAGGTGTAGTTCTTTTGTAAATCTATGTTGGATTATCTCCAGACAGGAAGATAGCCTGTTTAGCTTTTGTCTTTTAAATAACATAGAGATGAAATATGGAAAGCTTAATATACATGTTTTCCTACTTAAATCGAAAGGAGTTGTTTTCTCCATTTCTAGAAAGTTTGTTAGTTAAAATTATAAACCTTTGGGGAATTTTATATTTTATTGAGGCAAACATGTTTCTATTCAGTATTTTATACTCTTCAAACCAAGTAAATTGCTGAACCCAAAGATGAGAATTTGGGGATTAAATTTAGCTGAGAATTAAAATTAACTACAATATTCCCCATACCAAAATTCCTTAAATTGCTGCCCTTTTCCTAAGGGATAAAACTGTAAATAATGAATTGAAAAATGTGGCTAACTGGTATATGCTACTGTCTATCTTTTTCCTTGAGTCCATAGATGCATACAATCAATCAGTAACAGTTTCCTAAAAGAGCTATGGATTCTGCTTTTCCCACTTGAAGAGCCAAGGGTAGAGGTATCAGGACTGCCTACCCACCAGGCTAAGGCTGAAGTTTGCTCTCTCAGAACCATTGGTAGCCTGTGGCTCCCTATTGCCAAGGTTTGCCCTTTGGAAAAGCATGAACCAGTTCACTCTTCTACACAGTTCAGATCCCCCAAAAGGCTTGAGGCAGGACTGAGAATTAAATTTAAGAGCATGCACCACAAGTAATTGAGAGTTTAATACCTTTTTGTATAGAAGGCACAAATGAAAATGAATGGATATTTACCTAATTCACTTTCAGAGAATTAAGCTCCAGTCTTGGAAAATTTTAACTTCATCTAAGTCTTCTCTACTTCTGAGGAAAAGAAAGGCACTTTGCCATTTCTTGAACAAATGACAGTGAAATCCATCCCCTGGTTGTAAGGGAATAGCCCCTATCTTTGACAAAATGTGGACTGCATTGAAATAGATGTCATAAACTATTTGCACCATTTTATATTATGGAAAATATAAAATGCAGACTATTCCGTGTTGCCACAGTGATTGCTGTTTTGTGACTACTGGTGAACTTACTCATTTTCATACAAATTCCAAGCACAGCCATGTCTCCAAAGATGCATGTAATTACCCTGTATGATGCAGCAATTACATGAAGATGACACCCTTGCATGCTTCTGTTTCATATAAACTCAAGCATTAAGCAGGAAGCTAGAGGATATGGGGTTCATGATCTTGAGTAATCACTGCTAATAATCTCTGATAACAAGCTTGACATCAGAAGGAAACACAGGGCTCAGTAGTTACTACTAAACGTATCTCAAATTAGGCTGTATTGTTTTTTTATACCACTTGAAACCCAAGATCAGATAACCAGAGGTACCTTCTATAGACAAGACACTTCTAATACCTATAAATCAACTGTAGTGTAACTTTTTAATCAAACCTCCAAAAATAGTTCATGTTGTTTTCAGCCTAATAGTTCTGCATGATCTTTCTAATTTCATGGAATAAAATATAGTACTCCCAGGCCATCACCAATATCTACCATTGACTGTGGTCTTACAAATGATATTTTTTTAAAAACGAAGTTATTTGTACATAAGGTGGTATGTAGACCACACCTCTCCTTGTCTCTTATTTTCATTTCTGCATGATCTTTCTAATTTCATGGAATAAAATATAGTACTCCCAGGCCATCACCAATATCTACCATTGACTGTGGTCTCACAAATGATATTTTTTTAAAAACGAAGTTATTTGTACATAAGGTGGTATGTAGACCACACCTCTCCTTGTCTCTTATTTTCATTTCTGTTTGAATAACACACTTAATCACCTTTTCTTACGACAATCACTGGGATGTCCTATGGTGTAGCTGTTCCACATTTTTAAAAAAATTTTGTTTACTATCTTTTCATCTCAACCCTTATATTAATATAATTGCTATGAGGTAATTAACTAGAGTAGTACCTGAATTCATGTTGGCCAGATATAACTCTGCTTCTTAGTTTATGAAGTGTTGGTGACTCACTGTCAACTTATACACTTTAAATAGTATGGAACAAAGTAAGTGTTGAGTCAGTTTAAATACATACCTATAAATTTTTAAAGCCACAACAAAATCACTATTCCAAAAAACAACTCCCATATACACACAGATTAAAATAAAAAATGCCCACTTAAAATAAAATTCTAGTTATTAAGCACAAACCAAGTCAGGCAAGGAGGAAGAATTTTGGTTTAGTTTTATTTTTTCCCCACATATGTCACTGTTAGTCTTAATAATGTTTGTATCACAATAACACTGAACTCAAAAATCGACTTAAGAAACGTGAAATAAGTCATAATTCTAAGGCCCTCTACATTCTTTGAAGAAATTGTCTAATTAATCCCGACAAACTTCCAGACCTCTTTATAATGTTAAATCTTGAATCTCTGTTGCCAGTCTAAAACACTAAATTTGATGCTAGTAAGCTGAAGTTTGCAGGGCTCCTCTTGGTTGGTTGGTCGGTTGGTCGGTATTTTATTTGGATTAAAAAAAAAAAAAAAAACGCTTAATGGGGCCTTTTAATATAAAGGAAACAGAGTGGCAGAGAGACTTGCCCAGATTATACAGTCAGGTAACGAGGAAAGGAACTTTGGCCCCCAAATTCCAAAAGCTGCAAACTAGCTGTTGTTGCCTTTCAGACTAATGGAAACCTAAGAAATTCCCATTTCAGGTTCAGCCTTTCAGCGAAGTAGAGCTTCAGGAGCAAAAATATCCTGTATGAGAATGTGTGAGGAATCAAGAAAATATTCTCTTTACTTTTTACTCAACAAAGTTGTATTGTCCTTCCAGTAGACATTATAATGAAAAACATATGTCTCAAATTATGCCAATGTTGAAATCTACTTGGGATTACAAACTTTATTTTTCTTTCATGATTGTTAATCTAGGCTGCATTAAAACCCCACTAACGTGCCATGTATCTAAACAACATCTACAGGCTATCTATATCTATATCTATATCTATCTATCTATATATATATATATTCTTCCAAATCATAAAGTAAAAAATGCCTTCAAATGAACAAAGTGCATTCATACTGCACTTTAAAGATGTTCAGCAGTTCTCAAATATTGAGTGTAACAGAGAAGCCTATTTGAATAATTTAAAACAGATTTTACACTGATGGCATATTGATTTATACTCGATACACAAACTTCTCATGGTGTTCATTAAACCATCTAAAAATGCCCTAACAAATGGAATCTCTATTATGATCCGTTAGCCATGAAGAGAATGATGTCTTCTTTCCCCAGAAGTTTTCAGTTAATTTCCTCCCATATCATGAAAATGGCATCATGGAAGGGTGAGGAAATCAATACTCAGGGACCAAAATTGCCCTATTTGCCCAAGCATTTCATTAGCAGACATCGTCCTTTAAGTAAGCAATGTATTTAAGGGACGCTCCTGTGTTGATAACCTGTAAGCTGTGCAGACTTCTCTCCAGCCTGTGTGTTGTCTTGTTTCTACAGAGTGTTATTGTAACCCTTTGGGCTCAGTCCATGATCGTTGTAATGGCTCAGGATTTTGTGAGTGTAAGACGGGAACGACAGGGCCTAAGTGTGATGAGTGTCTGCCGGGGAATTCCTGGCACTCCGGCTGTCAACGTAAGTAACTTCTGGGAGCTGCCCTCCTTCTGCTGCAGCATGGCTGATTCTGCTTGTCCAGGCCAGTGTGTGCAGCTTCTCAGAGCAGAAAAAGACCCAAACCGCTGACAAGCTTTAAAAGCTACTTAAGGCCCCAGCCTATGTAGAGGAGAGAGAGCAATCCATCAACTGTCCAGCTGGCTTCCTGCAAGCCCATCTTCTTCTCTTCTCTGAATGTGGGAGCAACTTATATTGAAATATTGTGCTCAGATCCAGGTACCTGGCCAGGCCATAAATTAAGTGGCACAATAGGGACCCAGCCTGGAAATTCTCACCGCAAAATGAAGGGTGATGTGTATGTGGTTAATATATTTCTTGAACTGAAAACTACCCCTGAGCTCCAGAGTTCATAAATTAAATGATATCTACATAACTTATTACCACCCCTGCTATCACACCCATCACTGAATCTTAACCAGAAAACCTGAAAGCAATAAATCTTAGGGATATTTAAATGCCAGGGTGAAGTAAATGACAAAAATCAATATTGATTTTAAGCCTCTGAGGTTAGGCACCATGCAGTGAGCCTTAGACAGATGCCATTTGGTTCAGCCTCATTTCTCTGAGGATTATCAGACCTTCTTAAAAGCTTGTCAGGCAGGTGGCATGTCGGCATATTCAGGGAACAGAAATTTAAAAATCTGAGCAGAAGCTTCCTTCTGTCATTCATAACCTTTACTGCCTTTTCATTATGTACTAACTTTCTAGTCTATCTGTACACATTTAGCTTACTAATACTAAAGAGCCACCAGGCAAATCCTCTGGAGCAGTGCAGTCCAATAGCAAACTGTACAAGCCACATATTGAATTTTCAGTGTTATCCACATTTAAAAAGTAAACTAGAAGAAATTGATTTTAACAACTTATTTCATGTAAGCTTTTAATATCTCAAATATTATCATTCAATATGTAAGCAACATCAAAACTATTAAGGATACATTTTACATTTTTTTCATACCATATTTGAAATCAAGTGTGTTTTATTCTTACATCTCAATTAGGACTGACCGTATTGCAAGACCTAATAGCCACATGTGTCTACCATATTGGACAGCACAGCTCTAGACCTTCCTTTGCTTACTTTTCACTTGAAAACAAGGTCAGCATGCAGGAACTGTTCTAAAGCCAATTCCAAGGCCATACAGAATATTTCACCGACTACTTGTGGAATTTATAGTTATCTGTAAGCTATGCTTTTACATGATGTAAAGCCAAAGTGAAATTTGCTGCCGTACTATTGCCATGGGCAGCAAAGAACTGTGGTGATAGTTTGAGAAATTCAGCACTGAGGACATCAAGGGACGCCAGAGCTGGAGGTGAGCATCCCCAGCCATGCTGGAGAGAAACTTGAAAAGATAAAGAGGCAGCACATCTGCACATAAGCTCTGCATAAGGTCATGTTTAAAAGTCCTGCTTGCCATAGATTCCTAGAAAACACCTTAGGGGTATGGCTGATTGTTGGATCCCAAGGATCATATGACAAGCCAGTCACTGGTCCTGGAACATCTGGATGTAGAGGCCCAGGGAAAGCTCAGAGAAGAGGAGGAGGGACAGACGGAGGAAGGACCCAAACCAGCCCAAGACTCCAGGCATATGTTGTAAGGAGACTTTGCAATTAAGACACTCTTCTCAAAAAGAAAGTATCTTGGAAACTTCCTGATGCAGCAGGACCTAATGAATAGGTATCATCAGGGAAAGACATTAGAGATGGAAACTAATCCAGCCTTAGGGGAGGTATATTCCAAAAAGGTCCTAACTTGATTTTTCTGGATTAATTATTGGAGTATTATAAAAAGGTACAATGTCACCGAATTTTCCCTTCTGGAATTAGAAGACTGGATTGCCCGTGGCCTTACCACATAAGGGCCGTGCAATGCACCAAACCCTCTGTACCTCGGCTCTGGCACCTCACATCCTTGGTATACAGGGATCAGTGAGATTATGGAAGTGATTGCTGTATCTTCTTGGGTATTTCTTGAGAACCCACCATGAATTAAGCATAGAGCTAACAATAGTGGCTACAAGGATGAAGAAAGATAGCTGCTGTGGACATACGGGCATGGAGTTCACAATCTGAGGTGAGAGGCTGACCTACAACTAAACAGTTTTGACAGAAGGTAATCAGAGCTAAGAAAGAGCTATGTGTGTGCTTCTAGTGAAGTCCAGATGGAAGTGAGGCTTCCCAGAGAATCGACGTTTGGTTCAGTATTGAAGGATTAGTAGGAGACTTCCAGGATGGAACTTCTTGAGCAAAAGTACATGAGTTAACATAACACACTGTGTTCCAGAGATACCAAATAGTTTTGGCATGATGGGAGGATAAGGTGTGTGTGTGTGTGTGTGTGTGTGTGTGTGTGTGTTGGGATGGGGGAGAAGATGTTCAAAAGGCAACCAGACACCAGATCACATGGTTTCATGAACATCAAGCTGAGAGTTTCTTCTCATGTGGGAGAGGGCAGACACAAGATCCATCATACGGTTTTAGACAGAGGAATGAATGAAATGCTCAGAATTTGTTTTAGAAAGATTATTCTGGCTGCTCTGTAAAGGAAAGACTGGAACAGGATGACACTAGATTTATTATATCAATTTAAGGTATTTCAAATATACCTTTGAGTATACAATAGCTTTATCTCACTCTGAAATCTTTTTTTTCCTTCACTCAGATCCACCCCTACAAGGCTGATATTCTATGCAAAAATATAGAAATTCTGCTGTCAGTTGATAAATGGCTATAGCCTGAGGATCTCTAAGTGCCTTCCCTGGGATCTCTCAGACGACCCTAAGATCCACCAGTCAGTGGGGTAACACCTGTCATTGTAGGGTGCCTCCAGCACCAGTGTTATAACAGACACTCATTCTAATTAGTTGATGATTACAGGTTGACAAATATTTTTCATATCACTCCCATGTGTGCACACATATGAATGCTCCCAACAATGCTCTTCCCAAAAAATGCCCCTGAAGTCAATCTCTCTCTGTCTTTCCTCCACCCTAACCCTCATACACTTCTACTGCGATGAATGCATCCTTGGGTTAACCTCATTATCAGTGGCAGGGATTACCCTGACAACCAGAAACCAATGCCAAGAAGAAAGCAGTGGTAGATAGAGCTGGCAATGGTGCTGGCCATGAGCCATGAGCTGTAGTAAGCAGACACACTTAGGCCCTGGGCTTGAATTGCACCTCCACCTCTTATTAGCTGCAAGACTTAGAAGAAATCACTTAGACTCTCTAAGCCCAGTTTGTTTTGTTTTGTTTTTATCTTAACATGGGGGTAATACTAGGACACGACACATATGGTAATCATGAAGATTCAAAGAAAATAATGAATGTGGACCTCATGGTACATAGTAAGCACTCAGTTATTCCAAGCACATGTTAAAGTGTCAAAATGCTAGGCAAAATCCATGTTTGTTTATTTATTTATTTAAATTTTGGCCATTTTTTAAAAGATTTTGGAAGATAACAGAGCATGTAGGAAATCAGGAACTTAGTACACACAGCAAGGGGAAGGCTGAGATTCAGTTGCTGGACCATGGCCTACAATATCCCAATAACCCTAGGATATGGGTTCTTGGAAGGGATCAGTACATGTATTATTGAGAACAGAAAAACATATTTAGAAGAAAGCTCAATAGTATGATCAAGAAAATCTTTGAGTAGAATATTGTGAAAATATCCTTATAAAACTATAAAACCAGACAGTGTGGCAAACCACAGAGTTTAAAAAAAAAAAAAAAAGGACAAGAGTTAGTCTCAGGAGAATAAGGAAAGGTTTGTGGAACAAAACTCTATGGTTTAGATGTTTTCCTTCCCAGAGAATGCACAATAACTATATTCATTTTCTCTTGCTGCTATAATAAACTGCCACAAACTTAGTGGCTCAAAACAACATACATGTATTTCTTACAGTTCTGTATTTAGAAGTCCAACAGGGATCTCACTGGGCTAAGATCAAGCTGTCAGCAGAGCTGTACCCTTCTAGAGGCTCTAGGGAAAAGTCTGTTTCCTTGCCTTTTCTAGCTTCTAGAAGCTACCTATATTCCTTTGCTCATGGCACCCTTCCTCTACCTTCGAAACCAGGAACTTTCCATCTCTCTGTGCCTTTCTTCCATCATTACATCTTTCTCTGACCACAGAAGGGAAAAGATCTCCACTTTTAAGGAATCATATGGTTGGCTTGGTCACACACAGATAATCAAGGAGGATCTCTCTACCTCAACACCCTTAATGTAATCTTTCTATAAAGTCCCTTTTGCCAAGTAAAAAACAAAAACAAAAACAAACAAAGAAAGACAGGTCACAAGGATTAGGGTGTAGACGTCTTTAGAAAGACAGCTGACACTGCCCGCCTCAATAATCATTGAGAATGGCAACCTTTAATGCCAAGCATAAATATGTGGTATCATGGAAATGAAATTTAACTCATGCTAGGAATAAAGATATGCAAGAGAAAAAAGAAATACATAGTACATCAGAAAAGAGTGCCATATGTCAAGAAGGTAAAGACTTGCGTTGTGAATTAGAAGATAGAAACAGTGAAACACCTTTCTGTCAAAACCAAAGAGCTTATAAAAAAGGTGTTGTGAAAGTATATTACAGACTACACAACCATTTAGAAGATAAACATATTTTTCAAAGCCAAATTAGAAAATCTAAATGCTCTGGAATCTTCCAAAATGAAGGAGTTCAAATATCAAGATAATTACTGAAAGATGTGTTCTGCTAATTGTAGACTTGCATTGACAAGAATTCCTTCACCCAAAAGAGTGAAAGGAGTCAGGAAAGTGGTAGCCCCACTCTGGGGTAGTACAGAGATGGTAGTATCGCATAAGAGAACAAATGTAAATAAAAACCTTTAAGGGACATTATCCCAAACCTTAAGAAAAATTGAAAATATCCTTAGGGGGAAAAAAATGATCTTAGATACTTTTTTGAAACACACATGCACACACACA